ACAACAAGCAAACATCACATCAAGCAAAATCCCATCAAATTAATTCAGGAAAGTTTGAAGATTCACATTTTTCCTATAACTAATTGACGCTAAATTAAACTAAACTTATGGGAAATTTTATCCAAATATGAAAACATTTATTTTAATTTGTGTTTTCTATGCACAACCCAAAATCAGAAATTTTGGGGTGACACAATGACACATGTCCCGACTGGAGCCAAAAGTCGCCTAGTGGAGTTCTCGGCTGTGGTGGAGTTGTTTCCAGAGGGGAAATATAGCTAGGTTAGTTTTCTGAAGTTAGGAAGGGAATGGGGTATATATGTATTGTTCTTGAATGCGGTGTGGAGTTCAATGGTTTTCTTGAGTCTTTAAGGCTAGTCTCAATGTAAAGTTTCATGATGTTGTTTTCGAGGCTGCCATGTCATATACAATAAAATAAAATATAGATTAAACACTCACTCTCAATAGAGAGTTTCATTCTGTGGTTTCATATATAGACTTTTGATTTCATTACTCATTGGGAATTGGTAATCGTGACAAGAGAGTTTTATCACTATGAAACTCACTTCTTCTCTCTCTTCTTAAAAACGTTACCACATCATCAAAAACGCTTATGTGACAACTTATTAAATGTAAAGAAAACTCTGATGAAACTTCCACTAGACTGGACTAAGTTATGTGCTTTGTAGAATTTTTGGGAACTGGATGTTGTAAAACGTTTTGGTCTTTGTTAATGTAATGACCGGGGCTTTGCCCTAGAACTCTAAAAAAGGCTTATTGATTCAAAAAAAAATTCAAAACAATGATAACTCCCATTTTGTTTCCGCAAAAAAAAAAAAACAAAAAACAAAAATTGGCAACTTCCATTTTGGGATTGACGTCTGATTGCGGTACCATAAATTAGTCAAGTATGAACGAGTGCTTAGGACAAATGGATGGTGACCCCCACGCAAGAGAATTACGGTAGAGTTGGGGACTTCTCACTCGAGATTGATGTGGAACTCGTCATCAGAGGTCACAAGACAGAAGCTCAGGCACGTGTGTGGACCTCGTGAATTCTCTAAACTCACCGACGAGCTATTAATTCTCTATTTGTGGGGGCAAAGAGAGTATTTTATTGCTACCTTAAACTGGGGTTAAACCATTTTTGGATGCGTTGCAAAAAAGAAATGCACGCAGGAGGGGCATGCCTCAACAGTATGCAGCTCTCTTCTAGCTAGCAAAGCTAACTCATTTGCTACTCTATTCTCTTCATCTGCCTCAAAAGTATTCACACAATCAACAAGACTGTGAAGTGACTTTGGACTCAGCCATCACAAAACCAACTTCAGATTTGTGCGCTTTCTGCCATCGGAGAGCTTCTTCCACCCTGAGCAACCCGAGACCAGCTATTTGAGCAGTGTGTGAGAGCACCATCCGGCCCTGAGGACAGCCAAAGATCCCGATGCCTCCAAATCCCACATGACTGACCTAACGTATGGGTGCTTCCGATCCTCTCTCGGACACAGGCACAGTACTCCCAGACCGGACTCTTGTGTTTCCTTTTTGTCAAAAGAATGAACCGCTCGCAAGACCATCCCTACTTCTTGTGTGTGTTTTAAAGGGCCAAGATAATAATTGCTGGCCCCAGCATGCAGCTGCAACACTAATTGCACGTAGTTTCTCAAAAATAAAACATGCACATGACTTTAGTACCCCTTCCATTCTCAATTATAAAATGTTTTGTCATTTCCAAATACATAGTTTTCACTATGTATCTAGACATATTACATATCTAAGTGCATAGCAAAAGCTATGTATTTAAAAAACATTGATGCAACCATACAGTGCTCAAGGCTTAGAACAGCTCACAATTGCTCATAAAAGCTCCAAATACTCAAGTCTGACTCTCTAATCCAAAAGAAACATCACTTAAAACACAAATCATGCAAATGGATGATGTGGAGAGCTCTCAATAAGGCTTTCTAAAAGTTAGATGGACGTGGAAGGAATCAGCAACCCCCAAAATGGGAAATGGTGAGTACAAATACTCATCTCCCATGAAACAACAGTGGGGGGACTTGTCAACAAAACCAAATTGGCAGATTCAGGAAACCGACATGGCTGGTTTTTGTCAGAACTAGCTAGTACTGTTCAAACCTACGCAAAACCGGCCTAGCCAGTTTGGAAGACCAGCTTGGCATGTTTCCTAATTTCTTCCCACTCTTTTCTAATTCTAGAGTTAATCACTCGTGTTTCCCTCAAGGGTTACTTGGAGCACTTTTAGGCCTTGCTAGTAGTCAATGTTGCATCCCTCTTGATTTTTCCAGATAATGGAAATGTTCTGGCTTCAAACCTCTTTAAAGAAGAAGCATTAATCCACCAAATTACAAATCAAGAAGCAAAAAGTTGCATCCCTCTTGATAATAAGACATACCTTCACTCAAGATCAAAAATATACATTTAGATCACAATTGAGCTTCTCTTTCTTGGAATTTTCCATCACTTCAATCTTCACCATTTGAAGATCTTTCAACGCTGCCATTTCCATGAGCATGTCCCCATTTAGCTTGTGACTTAGAATCTTTGCGACAATATGATCAACACTACACTTTTCATCCTTAAGTCACTTCTTCATATGATTCAACAAATAATTGATTGTCCACAAGACATGATTCCTCATAGCTTGATTAGTTCATTAGCTCAATGCAAGTACATATACTATTCTTTACCTTAGCCATGGTACCTCAGCCACCAAGCCGTTGCTTGTCGTTCACCTCTGCTTAATATTTTGAAACCATTTCATTGCTTCATTTACACTATCGAGCCATCCTCAAGTCACACTATGTCTTGAGTTGCCATAAGCATCCTTTGAAATCAATTTCATCAAAACCATGATTCTTGCTTGAATGTCTTCATTTGTATCAGTTTTGAGATCAATCAAGCTTTCATTTAATTCACCATAGTTTTTTGTCTATATGAAATCCAACGTCAATATTGAATTCTTGATTTGTCTTAGCAAGCCCTTAATACGAGACCAGTTCATACACTATCACTCATGTCTCTTTTGTCATTTCCAAATATGCTTGTCAGTTATGCAATTCATCAATGGACTCGATTACAAATGGGACTAATTTATATGCTTGTCATTTCCAAATAAGTCCTTAATGTGATCACATTTTTTGTAGTTTGCTTCATTTGAGCCCATGCATATAATCTCATCAAGTATGTTAGTACCTTAAATCGAACAAAATTCACTTAGGGCCTAGATGCACTTTCAACCAAAACCTAACCTCACTGGGACTGAGGGAGACGTTATTGTGGAATTTGTTGATTAGCTGAAAAGATCAAGTGAGGGAACGGTCCAAATCACTCCAGTTAGGTTTAACTTTCCAAAATAAAAATGACATTTTGCCACATAATGCTAAACTTTCATGGTACTGGCCGTTTGATATCAAAATTATTGGAATTGATCATGCATCATCACTAAATCAATGTGATTTTCCTATAACACCACAATAGTCATAAAATTGGTTTGCATGATTTGCATGATGTGAGGAGGGAGAGGGTAGAAAAAAATCTTTTTTTCTATCTGACGCAGTTTCTCAACAACCATGATCATTATTATTGAGAAACTGTGTCAGATAGAAAAAAAGATTTTTTCTATGTCAGAATTTCACATTAGAGATGCTGAAGAAAACAAAACATGTCACTTATACTATGTCTCTAATGTGAAGACATCAGTTATTCATATTGAGAAAACACGTCATTGACATGAAGATATTAGCAACTCTTGACTCGAAGACATGTCTCAAATATGATTCTTATCTGTGACTCTTGATTCAAAGACACGTCTGAGATATGACTCTTATTTTTCTTTCATGCGCGCCTCAAATACGACCATTATCAGTGATGCTTTTAGTTCAAATGTCACAAATATTTTGTCACCACCGACATATATATTAAAACAAGTCTCTAATAAGCATGAATCAGAGACGTGTTATAAATCACACGTCTGTAATAACATAGGTCACAACACATAGGTTCATAGCACACGTCAAAGTTATCAATATTACCAAAGGTTCACAACACAAGTAGTACTTGTTCACATATACACGCAAATGAGGCAATGATACTAGTTCAAAATACATCACATCATTAGACTTATCTTGTTCGACCCTTATTATCAGATACTCATCTAGTTGTGAAGAGTCTTTGATGTGTCTATATATCAGAAACTCGTCTTGGTGAAACGTGTAACTGATAACATCCCCTATTATTAGTGACTCTTCTAGTTGGGATGAGTCTCTAATAAATTGTCATTAGTGACGCATTTTGCTTCCTGTCCATGGACGGTGACTAATCAGTAATGCATTCACTCCGTCTCTAATCTTACATTAGTAACAAATTTCAATTTTGTGTCACTATTAAGCTATCTCCTTTGTGCTATTTTGGTATAGGGTCGGTTGTTGGTTGTTAGCTCTCTATTGTTCCACCTTAACTACTCTTTGGTTTCTCCCCCATCCTCATGCTTTGAGGGCCTTGCAACACCTCTAGTAAAGCCATCACTTCCACTACCTAGGCCATGGTTGTCGCTGGTCATCGGCTTCCCAACAAAGATAATGATGGTGGGATATATATACTCTAAACACCTCCAATTGTTATTTCACATAGTACTGTTTGCGAATTTGATGCATAGCTGAATGAGTTGAAACCCTATAGCTTTATGTGTACTGGCATGAAGCTTGCTATCACCTCTCTTCTCCACCGACCATCAAGAAAATGGTGGTGCTATCGCCTCTGCAACTCCGGACAGTTGTGTGTGTTGTGCTCGTACTAGGCCAATTTCAACGAGTTCAATGTGAAATGACCAAACACCACACAAGCTCATCCTATACTTATAGCAAATTTTTCCTAAGAAAAAAAAAAGACTTGGTAGTTGGTACCCCTAGAATTGCACATGTCATCCTTGATTTAATTTGAGTAGTTTAGCAATGACACAAACGCAGAATTTTATTGGATCATTTCTTCATACACCAATTGCAAATTACATGAGTGAAAAATCAACTGGAGATCGAACGGCACCAAATTAAAACAGAAATTTCAATCATTTACTACTACTACACACTTAGATTCAAGTATGAAACACGAAGCATGCATCCAGAATGAAACCACCAAAGCAAGAGCACCACGGATGGCCGGCCAAGCAGCAGGCGGCGCACGCCATGTATATGCATCCTCCTTAGAATTAGAATTGGTTGACCCTCCTGCAGTTGTGCCTGATCTCGCCGGCGGTCCCTGTGAGCGGCGAGATGTTGCCCATCTTCACCATGGACTTGGCGAAGTGGTCGAAGAAGAGGCCCAGGTCGGCGGCGTAGCGGTGGACGAGGTCCATGGTCTCGCGGCTCTGCGTGAGCAGGATCTCGTCGGAGCTGAGCAACCCGTTCATGGTCAGGATGTTGTGGTAGTACAGGTTGTCGAACCGGAACTGGGTCGCCGGGTCCAGCGCGAACAGGTTCTGGTCGCCGCCCGACCGCGGGCACCGGCCCCGCAGCTCCGCCGCGTACGCCGGGTTCAGCGTCCGGTCCACCTGCCCGTTGTTGTTCTGCCCATACAGCCGCTGCCGGAAGCTCACGCACCTCGAGTCGCCGATGGTGTGCCCTCCTGAGAGCGCGACGAGGTCGACGACGTCGAGGCCTTGGTTGGCGAACTTGCCGATGATGGTGGGGAGGGAGTCGTTGGGCGCAGGGATGAGGTTGTTAGAGCCGCTCAGGCTCGCCGTCAGCGAGTCCCTCCTCCCCAGTGGCACCTCCCAGCCGGGTCCGCCGGTCTGCAGTTCGGCGAAGACCATCGGAGTAATAATTGTAAATAAATCGACAACGGTGGATAAACAACGATGCTGAACGACGCTGCATTAATTAGTTCGTATTGGTGCGTACCAGGACGACGGAGTCCCTGGCGGCGACGGCGACGATGTCGGCACAGGAGACGGTGTGCGGGCAGGCGTGCTCCAGCGCGGCCTTAATCTCGTCGACGACCTCGAAGCCGCGGAGCGAGTCCTTGTTGGGGTTGGAGCGCTTCTCGGTGACGAACCTGCCGCTGCCGTCGGCGTCCAGCAGCACGGAGGCGTCGCAGCCCTGCACGAAGCAGTCGTGGAAGTGCAGCCGCAGCAGGGACGCCGCCATGCGCGGGTCCTCCGCGTGCGCCTTCGCCACGATGGAGCCCACGATGGCCTGCATCTGTGGGCACGCGTGGTCGTAGAAGTGCGGCTGCAGCGGCGGGAACCCCCCGCCAGGCACCGGGTGGCCCGAGCAGAGCACGGACGACAGCACGGCGAGCACTGCCAACGCGAGGCCGCCGCCGCCGCTGCTCCACTGCCGCCGTGCCATTATTAGCTACTCAAAACAACGTCCCGATCACTCTAGTTCACACTTGAAAACGATGGTACTAGCTAGCTAGCTGCTTTGCTCGATCGAGTTGGTTTAACGAAGTGTGGAATGAGCACGTATTTATAGGACAAAACCACAAGCTTGAAAGGGAATGATGAGCATGATCGATCTGGCAAACTAATTTCATACTACTGATTAGTTATTGAGGATTGGGGGAGCCGGTAATGCATGGCTGGGTCTTTCCAGCTCTGACCTCCACCTCCTCCATTTAGCTTTTCGCAGGGTAAGTACAACCTAAACACTATGTTGAGCTCACCGGCTCGATCAGGTACACGTACAGAACGGACAGCAGTAGGAGTGACGCGGCGCTGGCGCTTGTATAATGCTCGCATCTGCCTGCCCCCATCCCCGTGGCTTTGTCACCTAAAAGCCTTGTACTAAAATAATATCTAGAACGTGCATGCTCGTTTTGCAGGGAGGATACATGGAGTTTATTTGCCGTTTGTCGTGAGCGCCGGCCGACACATGTCGACGGTGTGTATATGATAAAAAAGATGCCAGTCCGTTTGTAATATAAAAAAGCAACATTTTACTTTATTTTCGTGCGTGTCGAGCTCGGGTCCTGGCCCTGGGGCACCCATTTTCTGTCCATTGGATGGAAATCCAACTGAGCAGCAGCCGTGGCGAGCTAGGATGACAGCATGCAGGCCACGCTACCGGAAACCGGCTCTTCGTTGAGTGTTTTTATGTTTGTCGAGTGCATTCCATCGGACACTCGGCAAACAAGCTCTTTGCCGAGTGCTGCGAAAAAAACACTCGGCAAAATAATTGCACTCGGTAAACAAACTCTTTGCCGAGTGCTGAAAAAAACACTCGGCAAAGAAGTAAGTTTGCTGAGTGTGTTTTTTTTCACTCGGCAAAGAAGTAAGTTTGTCGAGTGTTTTTTTGGCACTCGGCAAAGAAATAAGTTTTTCAAAGTACATTATGGAAAAGAAGGAAGAGGAGAAAAAAAAAGGTTTGCCGAGTGCCTCCAATCTGGCACTCGGCAAACACTACTTTGCCGAGTGTCAGATCTAGGACACTCGACAAAGCTCCTATACTATAGCTCTCGACGATGCTCCCCGGCCCCAGACGTCCCGGCCTCTCGCCGCTCTTCCCCAACTTTTTCTCTCCTTTATTCTCTCTCCTCCCATACCTTCGCCCCGCGGGGGGCGAGGCTGCACTACGGGATACTGATTAATTACCGAGTGTGATAAACACTCGGCAAATATGGATAAACACTCGGTAAATTTTTTACCGAGTGCCACACTCGGTAAACATGACTCGGTAAACAACGACTCGGTAAAGTTAGTTTACCGAGTGTCAACTAACGGGGCACTCGGAGAATAAATCTTACGAAAGTGCTACGCCGCACTCGGTAAACAACTACGACGTGACGGTCGTCGGTCCCCAAGCTTGCCGTTAGCGGCGTCGTTAATGAAAGTGTTAGACATAGCACTCGGTAAAAGCAGATAACCATTTTCATGATTAAAACAATTCCGCAAATATTTTTTTCCTAATATAGTTTACCGAGTGTACGGTAACACTCGGTAAACATGTAACTCATTTACCGAAAGTGTTCCACTCGGTAAAAATGGCACATATATCCGAGTGGGGTCGTGGCACTTGGTAAAAATGGCACACTCGGCAAAATTAATGAATCGAGAACCAATTTGGTTCATTCTCTGCATTTACCGTAAACATCACCATTACCGAGTGTTACACTCGGTAAAACTTGTCCATAGTATTTTTTTTGTTTGTTTCAGTGCATATCCAGCCACAATTAACAACAATTATAACAAAATATCACAGTTACCAACAGATAGACAATATATATCACATATATGTCCACAAATGTCACATCCACTCATTATAACCAACATATAGCTACAACAAATGTCACAAGCACAATGCAAAGTCCACAAACACCATCAACATGTCCAAAGTCCACAAAGTTCAACCCACTTCTAAGTTCAACATACAAACAAGTGAAACATGGTCCCTGTCACATGGTGAGGAGCCCTACCGAGAAAGCGGAGACAAGTCCAAGTCTTGATCGTTGTTCGATCCCATTTGTAGAAGGTCCCCGGAATGAGGGAGCAAAAGAAAATAAACATATTTGTCAATTAATCATAAGGTAGTATGCCAAATTCAAATATTCCTTCGAAAGACCAGTTAACAGTGACATCAATATATAGGCATATAATAGATAACACATATCAAGTTAGTTGCTGTTTAGTTCTCCTCTATGTGCAAGATATCGTCACACATGGTCGAGTAGACTGAACATGAATTGGGCAAACACCTATGTACTCATGTAGAACCTAACATGATGCCTTTCAAGGTCTGAACAATATTACTAATAATCTAACTTATACATGTATGTATCCTACTCTCTTCTAGGTTCTAACATGATAGTGTTGACTGTAGCACAATCTGAACTGAAAAAGCCTTTCAAGATGAAGAGTGACTCACAGGAGTGCCGTCGCGCGGAGGTGGAGGCACCAACGGTATCATCGGCGGCGGCGGAGGCGGTGGAGGCTGGCCCATGCTCTGAGAAAAGCTGGCCATGTACTCGTACCAGGCCTTCTGCGACTGCTGGAAGGCCTCAAGCTGGGCCTGCACTCGCGCCCTCTCCTGTGCCAACTCGGCCTGGTGCGATAGCTGGAGGGCTGGCCCGCTCTGTGAGGCTGCTTGTGACTCTCGCGGGGCTTCAACTGGGCCTACAATTATTTATCACATAGTTAGAATGCAAATAAAGAACGGGTAGAAAATGAATGGACAACGAGTGCAACAGAACTAACCTGGAGTGCTACCACCTGGGGCTGTGAGCGTGGGCGTATGGCCGGGCTCGAACTCGTGCTCCGGGCTCTAATCTGGGCGAGTGTCTGAGTGTTGGCCGTGTCTATGGTGCTGTTGCCCATATAGTACCTCCCGTGTGGCTTACCCGGTCCCAACCTCATGACGATGTCACCCTCGAGGTCAGCCGGTGCTCGGATCAAATTCGGCCCATGGATCTCTCTCGCCATCGCGCGTGTACTTCGGCTGAGGCGATGCCGTGCACTTCAGTTCTTGTATGCCTCGGGTGGGTCCTCCGGGTTGTAGACGAGGTCGGGGTCCTTTGCCTTGCCCTTGTGTGCCAAGGCATATGCCTTGAACGAGGCGCACTCTGGCCGGGTGGAACAGCGTCTGCAGGAAGAAGCACAACAATAAGATATTATGCATTGAAGTTAGCGTAGCAACAACGAAATGAAATCCAGCGTACATATCCGGGCTGCATATTCCTTGAGGGTAGTGGGCCCTTGTTTGTGCGAGAACCTGCATCATCGCCACGGCAACGTGAGCGTCGACGGCGTGATATTGCTCGTACTCCTCACTCAACCACGTGTCCACAATGGCCTCCCGGCGATTGTCCATCCCCGCACACCAAGCGGGAGGCACTGCGCGCATACACGAGCACATGACAAATCATAAATCAATTTGATTGCAATTAATCACAGACGATGTAATATCATGTTTACCGTCAAGTATTGCTCCTTAGTTAGGGCGTGTGCCTTTGCTGCGCTCTGGTGACTCTGTTTCGCTTCTCTGCGGGCATGGTAAATTCTTCGCGACAGGAGCTTTGTCTCGTAGAAGAGGTCTGCACTCGGTGAACATGCACTCATTCACCACGTCATCCGCGTCCTCCCTACGTACTCCCTCCGCCAAGGTGTAGTAATCCTACAAGCAAATACGATCAATAATATACAATTAATGTGATGTTATTATCGGCATAGTGCGATGAACACACGCCACAGCTCTTTCATCACCCGGTCGGCCTTGTTGTTATAACACCGCCATTTCGATCGTCGATCATTTGGCGGCGTGCTGATGGGACCACTTCATGGCGGGCTGCACAACACCATCGATCCTCACCATCCCGGGGTAGTTTGCCTGCCACGGAAGACCCAGGATCCCGTTTACTCGGCGAGAGTGACTCCACAGGATCACCATTTCCCAATCCTCGCACAAAGTTATTGAGATTGAATATTAGTTTCATTATAACTTAAAAACACGTGAATTAGTGTTAACATGCAAAATTACTTACTTAGTTCCGGATGGTGAATCATGGCCGTCTCTGTATGGCAGTAAGTCCGGGAGGCGCGACGACCCGCAGCCCAAACCGTAGGCACCCCATTTTCCTCTGCCACCAAGTCGGCATCCTCCTCGCGCTCAACCCGCTCGGAAGCATCCTCCCTCCGTGCCTCCTCCACCGCCTCCGCTATCTCCTCCCTGGTCTCCTCCTCCTCCTCATCCTCCTCCGTGGCCGCTACGAACTCGTGGTCGTCGTCCTGTGGAGGAGGTGTCGGCTCTCGACGCCCTCGTCGTCGCCGTCCTCCTCCTCCACCCTAGGCTCCTCCTCCATCCTGGGCTCCACCTCCCTGGGCACGCCCTCGTCGTCGTCCTCCTCCTCCTCCCTGGGCACGCCTCCACCTCTGCCAGGCCTCCTCCACCTCGGCTTGGACCCCTCGCCACCCACCAAGAAGGTCATAACCGACCTAAGCTTCCTGATTCCACCGCCCACCATCAATCACCTGCAACAAAAGGAATAAACTATCAGTACGCATATACAAAAGTAAATGTATCATACATGTATAAAAGAGATGCAAAATAAGTAAATGTATCATACATGTATAAAAGAGATGCAAAATAAGTAAATATATCATACATGTATAAAAGAGATGCAAAATAAGTAAATGTATCATACATGTATAAAATTGCCATAAGTACTACAGATCTTACATGTACTAGAAATAATCATCAAGATCATCGATAGGTGGGCCAAAAATCTCATCATCGCTATTGTCGGCGTAATTATGATCGTCTCTCAAAGTCTCATCACTAGCGACCTTTGCTGAATGGTGTTGCTCAAGTAATAACAAGTCCTTGGCACAGAACCTCCTCTCCATCATCCCGTCAAC